TTTCAGAGAGTACAGTGGAATTATTGATTTGTTTAGTGTTAGGAAAGCTATTGATTATGTGGCGGTGTGAGCTTATGTAAGCATAAATTGACCTTGCACAGTATTCTATTTGTGTTTTAACCATGGTTCATTTTAGTACACAGATGTGTTAAGCAATATTGTTATATATGTTAGAGTGTAGCACACTACAAATTAACCTCTTCAAGAAGGAGTGGGATTTTATAATCTGCAGAAATGTTTAACACACACTTTTCTGAAGAGATATTCAAGTGAGAAAAGTGTAATAGAGTTTGAGTGGAATAAAAAGCAGGAGGGGCAATGGGTTGATCTTTTAACTATTCTTTTCAAGATGCAAGGTTCTTTTTTTAAAGTAGTAATGTTTTCTTTTTTAAAAGTTAAAAATATTTTGATGGGATGGAGCAGGGTGCCAGATAAACTGCAGTGTAACATCAGGGGTTTTAGAAATGTATTTACACCTAGGAATTTCCTTCCTCCTTCATTATCAGGTGCAAATAAGGTTTGTCAGGAACGGTATTTCCATGGAGAGGGGGCCCAGTGTCCACAGCTCACACAGGGTTATTCCAGTGTGATACTGCTCCTGAAGAACTGTTGCACTGCTTTGCCAGGCTCCAAGCTCATCAAGATAGCCCAAAAATACAATGCCCAGAGGATTCTCTGAAACACAGCATGTGCCCAGCCTTTCTCTATCCTCCCTCCCCCCCAGCCATTTTTGAAGGATGCTTTAGCTATTTGTTAGCTTCCAGCAAAAACAGGATTTGCAACTATTTCGAAAAATCTACAGATTATTTGCCACCCTGAGTGCATAGCCCAAATGAGAATAAATCAAACTTCGAAGTCTGTAAAAGCAAAGAGATGTGGAGGTGTAAAAAACAATTACAGCTTCTACCCAATTGGGTTCTGTAATTTGTTGCACTAATGAAACATTTCTTTTAAGTGGAAAACCTTTGAAGAATACTAATATAATAATTAATATTCAGGTTACCTAGGGAACCTGACACTCTACTGACTGTAGCTAGAAGAGCCTTTTGCAGGGGAAGCTACCCAGCATGGCTTTTTTTCTGGAGCTTTAAGAATGATGCTTCCAGGCAGCTGCGAGATTATTTCCCCTCTCTTTCTGAGTTTTTACCAAGCCTCTCTTATAACCAAGAAATCCAAGGACTTGCTTTGTCTAAAACAAGCTAGACCTGATGTAAATTTGAAAATGGAGGAAGCATTCAGGTGGGCTTAGAAACAAAGGGATAATGTGGAAATGCGAGATGATTGTAGAGCCATAAAGAACAAGAGAAATAAAAAAAGAACAAGTGAAGCACAGCTGAATTTCATAAGGGAAAGGTCTGAATAAAAAAATACTTAAATAGTTCTCTATATGCCAGTAGCGGTAAACGTTGGAGGAGAATTTCCCTAAATCACTGTTAGTAGGATGCCATTTACACCACTTCTGGTTCAGGTACATCACCTTTGCTAGCTTCTATTGTGAAGTTAGATAAAACCTCTCCAGCAGTGGTAAACAAACACTACTGTGGGGCACAATAAATCTTAACTAGACTGCAAGGGCAATGAACCAAATGCCTGCACTTGCTCCTCTGAGGGCAGCCTAAATCTGGCAGTGCCGATGTCAGCATTACAGATACTGAAATAAGTGAAGGGCCAGGAGACTGGTTCCCTGACAAAGGCTTGGACAAAAATCAACCAGAGAAGAGTGCCTGTGGACATGGGAGGCATTAAAAAGAACATCATGGCTTCTACTTGCCTCATGATTCTTCTTTATTTCGAGAAACGCATCGGTAAACATCACGTAGTTGTCAAGAACCACTGACCACTGCCAGATAGCAATCTCACCAAGTGCACGTGAGCTTGCACAGCAGAGCGGCTTTAGAGGAAGCCATCTGGAAAAGGGCAGCTCTCTGACAACAAATGGACACAGTCTGCACAGCTGCATGGCAAAGCTGAGCTAGGTATTAGAGGGCCAACCTGAAATCCTGCACTCTGCTTTTTGTACAATGGGTTGGCAGAAGCACTGTGGTTTGTGCCACATATGGCTGTCAACTGTAACCCTTTAGCCAAATACAAAGATGAGTATTTTTTTCCTGCATTGCACTTCTGATTCATAGTCTTTTATTTGGCCTGGATCTGCTGGGAGTGTGGCTTACAAAGAGAACTGATGTGTACTCATTGGCACACAGTGCTGTCTTCTAGGAACATAAGAGTTACTGGCTCAGATCACATATTCCTTTACTCCACTACCAGTACGATGGTAGCCAACAGCAAAAGCTGCAAAGGAAAACACAAGAAAGCTTCTCTGAGAAATTCACTACCCCACAGGAAGCTGCTTTTGAACATTATTAATTAGAGGTTAGTTTATGCCCTGAAGCATAAGACATTAAATCCCTTATAAATATGCATTCCTGTCCTTCAGAGCTTCAGGATAATACAGTGTCATACAATTGACACCACACCTGAGAAGCATGTTAAGTGTTCACTCCATTTAACAGACGGGCAAACAGGAAAAGAAGTCAAGCAGCTTCTCTGCAGTCGAGTCAGCAGGCAGAATTCTGGTGGCACTGGCAGGTGAATAGGATGTCACAGGCAGCTTCAACTTTCCTCCTGAAAGTGGCTAGCTCTATTACCCAATTCCTGCTGCCCTCTGAGATAAATTTCCTCTTCTGCAAAATGGGTGTGTTTATCTACCTACTTAATGAGATTTTTAGAACTGAATAGTATTTTTATTACACAATTATTATGCATTACTGACACTAGGCAAAGTTAGAAAAAGGAAGAGATGTACTACCAAGGGATTATTAACTAATTTATTTCAGCACATTTCTAGAAGCTTTGTTCCCCACAGAACTATCAATGCAAAATTTCTCAGCTGGAGTGTCCTTGCAAAGCTAGTACCAGGCTCTTGTGCTTAAGTCTGATAAATAAGTTTGGGAGTGCTGTAAGCATGAAGTGTATACAGATTTAGTCAATACATTTTATACAGAATTTGTTTTTCTCTTTTTTTTTTTTTTTTTTTTTTTTAAAGCTTCTATTGACCAACTGCTAAGAACCTTGAAAATCTCCATTATGGTCTGGGAACAAGGACAACTGTAAAATTTTAATATCCTATTTATGGAAAATAATAGAGGAGTTTGAGTGAATGGAAAAAGAAAGAAAAGACTTATGCAAAAGCATGTATCTTTTGTAAAATAATCACCCGCAATGCTCTGAACCGAAGTACCAGTGCTTGGTCATATCAATGGAATTTTTGGACGTTGTCAGAGCAGATCAAATTTCGTAGGGACAGAAGAATATACAGTATTGTCATCAGAATTGCAGCATGGGTTGCATACATATGAACTAGCTAACAGTCTAGCTAGGTTGGATGTTAAAAATATTATGAAATCATAACAGCACAGCCACTGAACGTCTATCAAGTAAAAAAAGTTTGTCCAGACTACACTGAACCATGGGTTTCAAAAGATTTTTTTTTTTTTGTTTGGCATTTGAGCTATGTTAAAGCCAGCAATGTACATACAGTCCACATTTTCTAGGTGGCTTAGTGTACACCAGTTTTCACTTCTGAATACTTACAGTCTGTTCATAGGTCATATAACCCACCTTGACTACTTATTACCCACACTGCTTCCTGCGAGGCAAAGACAGCAAGAGGTACATCTTGTACTTAAAGTCCTACAGTCTCATATGACAGTTTAGCTAGAGGGTGTCAGGTTTGATTCCCATAAGCCTAGAAGATGTAGAAGTTGGCCCAGTGGAAGGGAGACTGCAGGAGCAATAAATGAAGAACTCAAGCTGGAACAAGGAGTGGTTTCTCTGCCACTGACTCAAACACCTAACACAGCATGAGAAGTGGCAAATTGCTGGTAGGTGGTGGCTGGTCTGTTCAGATGGAAGAGAAGTTAAAGACTGGAAAGCAAAAAGCCTAAATGTAGCAGGGTGAAGAGCAGACGAGAGTAGCTTCACCTCTTGTCAACTCTGTACAAGATACCTGACTATTCTGAAACAAAATGGGCTGCTTCTACAGCTCCTTATCATGCTCTGATTTCTCTATGCAGACCTAAAGCCTGACTGAATTAATTGAAAGTTTATTAAACCTTTTGTGTATTCTCTCTCCTACCTCAACTTTGGGAAACACCATTAGTCAGTTATGATACACAGCAAACACAGCAATTTATATTGCACAAAAAGCTTTACCCCTCCTCCAAAACTACTTTTTCCAAGGGTATCGTGCTGAGCATGTGGATACTGTGTTTTCACTGCTAGTTAACTCCAAAGAGTTGGAAGGTAGGTCAGTTTATTTATTTTTAATGATCATGACAGAATCTTTAATTGTGATCCATGTAACAATGTAATTCAAGAGAGTATTTCCCCCTGGAGAAAACAGGCTTGACACAGTGAGGCTGTTCTCTAAAACCAGCATGCTGCATTTCCAAATGAGAGTGGAAGCTTTTCAGGGATCACTGTCCCTACAGAGTATGTACTTATGTGCCACCCTGAACAAGGGCAGATGTAATCACATTCTTGCATGCTCAGAGGCCATGACATGCAGCATCAAACCTAATGAGTGCCTCGGGCACTTCTGTAACAGAAGCAATAGTCTTGGGCTAAGAAATACACTGCTTCATTACAGTCTTTTACCAGAGTGCCAGTTCAGATGGACAAAATCACATTACTGATTTTTTTTTTTAATAGTGTAGGTTTTGTGTCAGGAATATTTTAATCCATTCTACTTAAGTTAGTTAACTATCCATTATAGTGGAGATAGGTGAAATTACTTAATTTGTGTGGTTCTTTTATCCTACTCAGCTTGCAAGGTTCAAATAAACAAGAAGACCCCCAGCATCAAAGGATTAATAGAAATGTATAGCTATGAATGCAGTCTAAAAGCAATACAAAATTATCTTTTCAAAAGGGAAGATTTAAATTGATGGCTTGTTAGACAAAACTAGGGTAAACAGTTTTTCTAAATGAAAAATTACCTGAATTTTGTAGATTCTTCTGGTCTCCTTATCCAGGTGCAGTTCTGCAGTTTTGTGACTATGTGAAGATAATAATCTTCTGAATATCTGAAAAAGGCAACAACATCAAACACTAGAATATATATGTATGTATATTTAGAAACAGTCTCTAAAACATTCAAATGATGCATGTATGAATAATAATGTGCACGGTGCATATATAATAGATTGCTTTTAGAACTCTGTGACCTATTTTATTTTTGTAATTTATAACAGTACTACCCTCATTTAACTAGCATGACCTATTAAACATCTCTTCTTAACAGTGATGTCCTAATGAACTTTTCTCAGAAACTTTCAAAAGTACACTGGTTTCAAACTTAAATATTTGATCATAAATAACTTGAAGTTATTAAAAATCATCTCAAGTGCTGAAGTCCAAAAAACTCTCTTGTGCTTGGTGTTTTAAACTTCAAAAATATTTTGAAATGTAGTTCTTGCAAATTAAGATGAAACATTATATTTCTTATGCCTTTTCTTTCATTTACCTTATAGAGTCCCCAAAGCTCAACTGAATCATCTAAGACCACAGATCAATATTTACAAACATAAGTTTTTCTTCAAATTATCTCTTAAATAAAACAATCTGTTGCTTTACATCAACCAGCATTTTGGTTACATTGGTTCATGTAACCAAAGAGCTTTCTGCTCCTTTAAAACCCTTTCAAAAGATTTAAATTTGTCCACTTGTGAAACACTTCGGAACATGCAAGTCAACGGAATGGAGACATTTCTTCCCTTATAGGTTCAGCGGTAACACTTCTCCCATTTGTGCTTGGATTCTAATATAGGTTTTTTAAAAACAATAACACTGACTTATAAAGAGGACTGGGGAAATGAGAAGAGATTATATGGATGCCACGACTACAAATTCTATGGGATGCAGGTCTCCAGAAAAGTTCTACCTTGTATTATTTTAGCAAAAATGGCTTAGCATTGGCCCAAGATCAAATGATCACTAGTTTATTTAAGCTGGAACTTAGAAGTGTGTATTTTGAACAGTTTTACAAGAATCGGGATGGCAAAAAATATCACTTGTTTTTAAATGAAGCATGAGAATTGGCAAAAAGGAATGTAAAAAAGGCTGTGGTGGCTTGCAGCAGCAGAGGTCAGTAACCTGAAAGCTTCTTTCTCTCTCTGTATTCAACATGGTTTTAATACCACAGCTTTATGGTAAACATTTGAAAAAACAGAACCCTGTTTTTGTTTGCTTCATAGAAGTACTGCAACTGCTAAAGTTAACTTGTTTATCTACCCCTGAGTAAAATCATGTCCCATTTCCACATGGAAAAAGAAATTAAGCTTTTGAGAGAAATACTGAATTAGAACTGGTCTTTGGCTCAAGTTTGCACCTGTGACAACATGTATGATTTCCATTCTCCAGACTTAGCAAACTCTTTAAGGAACTAGATGACTGTGACTGATTTTACTGAGCCCTTGCACCAATTAAGAGAGCAGGAATTAATGGGCAGAAGTGGGAGAAGAGCAAAACTAGTTGCATTGCAGCTGTAGCTGATCTGACCCTGGTGCAATAAATTCTTCCTCCTTCCAGTCCACCTCTGAATCTGCTCTCTCCTTCGTTCCACTGCTGGTACTTACTTGACACCACCTCTGTTTTGGTCTTGCCAGCTTTTGTACTTGTCAAATGCTTTCACAGGCCACTTTAATTTACTACCATGGTAAAAAAAATAACCCAGAAGGAAAAAAATACATATATACATTTTCTTCTTCTTTAGTGTGTTAAACCAGATCAGGAAAGATTCCATCGAATGCCACAGTGAGTATAAGCAAGGAGTGATGGGAGTGGAGAAACTGGGAACAAGGCCTTCCTATTTTGGCAGCTGCCTGCTGGTGTATTGTATCAGCAGCCTTGGAACTGCTGCCAGAGCAAAGGGAATGACTTTCTTGCTGGAGCTGCTACCTAAATCAGCTCACCGTGGAGTCAGACAAGTGTCAGCACCAGCACAGGGCAGGACAGGGAGTGCGTGTCGGGGGAGGATGGGATAGAAGCACATGACCAAAATAGCCTATGCTGATGTTAAATCACTCATCTAGTTTTATTCCTTAAGGCTAAAAAGTAAGTACCTCTTAAATGCTGGGACTCATGGAAAAATTCCAAAAACTAAAAGGATACCAGGGCATGGAGAGTTACTTAGGCTATCATCCAGGAGAAAAAAAATATAGAAAAATCAAATTCTAGCCTGAAGACATTGATAAGATGAAGATCAGAGTCAGAAATGAAAAGAAAAATTACCATTAGCTCAAAGAAATTGCATGGACTGACAAGTTATTAGCAAGTTACAAGGAAACCTTTGGTAAGGAGAAAAATCAAAGCATCATCCATAATGCTAGTTCTGAGGACTCATGAGAAACATGGGCACTCACTGTCAGAAAGTAAGGACATTCTTATACATGTAACAGAACCAATCACAGTGCAAGAACATTGGTGCTTTTACACTGCTCTCTACTGGATGAAATCACTCTTGTTTGGAGGTGTCCAAGCTCATCAGCTCACCCAGAAAAGCACCGCATACAGGTCTTTACGAGGCAGGATAACACCTCTGCTCATCCCATGCATCCAGTTTTGCTCCTCTTGGGACTTGCAAAGACACTACGGACTGTCAGAACCCCTCTTTGCCAGCGCTGGCACAGCACCACAAGCACCAGAGACATCTCAGCAGCACATCCTGAGGGACAGGAGCTCCTGACTGCAGCAGCTCTGCAAGGCGGCCGCCACATCTGCTCACACCAACTTAAGGCTTCCATGAAACGAACTCTACTTGAATACAGACAATATTCCCACAGATTAACTTTTTTAAAGACGTAAAGTGAAGCTCTGGGATTTGCTGCAGCTGGGTTTACAGCCCAGAAAGCTTTGTTTTCCTCTCAGAAAGCCTATTTTAGCATTTCCTGCTTTAAAGAAGCCTTGGGGACTTATTCTTCCAATGGAATCAGTCCAGAAGGCCATCACAATATCATTTCATGGCTCCGCTGTAACCCAGACAGTCCTCTTCTCCACTGCTCTGTTTTAAAGAGCTGGGACAATACATATATTTCCACTGGCAACCAGGAGCTCACAGCACATATTCACCGATCCTAAAAGGGTTTTATTATTAAGAATAAAAATCTTAGGTAAATTGAACTATAAAAATACATGGACAAGACAATAATTACAGTGCTGAGAACAGTGAATGAAACACATTTTGTCCTGTTTTTGTCTGCCACCTGCATCACAACCATTATAATAACTTGTTGTAGGAAACTCACGCTGCATGAGCCTTGCTGACAAGTAACACCTGGAAGGTTTCTTTTGCCTATAGTACTTGTCAGGTATGCAGTGACCTTCTACATTAACTGCAGTGGCTAAGATGGAATTATTATGCACAGTTGAGGCACTGACAAAGTATAAGTATCTTCTAATTTTTGTCAGATATCTAAAAGACAACAGCAAGGACAGAAGTGTTGAGATAGTAGGAAGACAATAGGTAACATGTCAGAACAGAGAGACAGATGCAGCCCTACTGGTTATATGTTAAAACTAAACACCTACCTAAAAAAATGCTATTTGAATTTGAAGGAAAATTGAACAGCAGGAGTGAAAAAAGGAGATATTCCTACTTGGCAGCTTATGTTCAAGAAAGAAACAAATAAAAAGAAAAACAACAGCAGGAAATGCAAGAGAAAAGGATGATCCCTTTTGCCTTTCAACACTTTAATACTACCAAAACAACTATCAGTTTTTAAAGCCCTCAGCAGAGTGTGCACAGGGCTTAGTCTAGAATAAAAATGGAAAACTGCCAGCAAAACTCAGCATTTCAGGCTCTTTATCACCAACAGCACATACCTGCTAGAATAACAACTTCCCACTTACATAGCACTTTTTACTATCAAATCATTTGACAAGGCTTAAACTAGAATTTTTTTTTCCCCTTTCTGCCAACTTAAGAGGCAAGAGGGTCCAGAATGTCCCCAAAAGTCTAGAATTACAATATAAAGCATTTATATACCATGCTTGTGGGTCACACCTTGAAAGAGGAACAAAGATCCCTGCAGCTCCTCTCAGTGAAGGGCAGAGTTGCAATGATCATGGAACGAACCAATCCCTTGTGCCATTTTTCCAAGCACCAGTTTCTCTTCCTACCTGACCAATTAATCTTCTGCCTTGTTAAATGGTGCAACTCCTTTCTCTTTAGCCACAGAATAAAGGTCTCACACTTTGCAAAGTTTCTCCTACAATCTCAGCTCCAAAATGTTTTAGACATGACGAGCATGTCTGCATTGCTGCAGCCTGTACAACTTCATAATACATGGGATAAATAACAGCATTTATATTGCTATAACTGGATTTTGGAGGCAGTACAGTGACTGGTTGTCCTTCTCTTGGTGTTAACCACGTTATTTTTCAGTCAACTGTACTCTCTGACCTCTGGTTGCCAGTCTCTATTTCAACTCGCACTAGCAGCACAGCAGTAGCAGTGGTCTAACACCTTTCAAAAGACTAAAAACTTCAATGATAGTGTTGCTGATGAGGTGGAATATTGGTGGGAGAAGAGGTTATGCAGGAAAAAAAAAAAAAAGAATGAATTGAAAGAGTAAAGACAGAATGCTGGGAATATGGTGACTTAAAAACAGGTGAAAGATCTTAAAACACAATTAGAAAGTAAGGAGGGGGAAGAAATGACAGGAGAAGTTTTTAAATCATGATTTAATGTTGTTTCTGTGTTAAGGAAAAATTTGACTTCTCCACTGCTTTGAATGGGGAAAGGCACAGAATTATTTTTAGCAGAGCTTTTGTTTCTCATTCCATTTCTCTTCTCTTCACAAATGGAGGCAAAAAAAAAAATGCTTTCAATTTTAAAGGCACCATGGCATATAATTAATTTTAAGTTGGAATTTGGTTCTAATGGCAAGTCTTTCTTATTTACAGCGTTTTATTTATTGGTGCATGTATACAGGCAAAATGTTACATGTCAAAAGCAATGGCCTGCTTCTCCCATTTTCACCTTAGAAAGTGGCAAGGAATTTGAGTAGAACTGATATAAAACAGTTTTTTTCCATGTCAGGAAAAGTCTGAACAGCAAGTTGAAACTCAAAATAAATTTGGGGTATTTTTTCAATGTATCTAAAATTGAATTATTAGTTTCCTGTGGACTAGTTATTATAATGAATGCAATTAATTAGCAAGTTTTTATACTAGTATATTTCCATACTTACTCTAGTGAATATGCCAAAAAGAATCCATTAACTGAGGTTGCTCATAGCAGGAGTGTTCACCAATCAGGAAAAAGACACTCATGAATTAAATTATACCACATAGACGCTGTTCAACCTTTTTGTGACTATCTTGGAATAAATTGTTGCTAACTGGCAAGGAGAAATCTTGTTGACTTATATTATGAAAATAAAAAAAATAAAATCCAACTTTGTATAAATCTAATTCATGTGAAAGAAAAAATGCAGGCATACATTGGTTGAACAATTTCAGTTTCCTGTTGTATAGCTCCACATTAATATCACTGAGAATTATGTAAAGGAGGACAATCTTTTATTCTTCTGTTTAAAACAAACAAAGCAGAAAGCATAGCAAACACCTACTTTTTCTTCTTGGTAGATGATGACAAAATGTTGTCCTGAATTGCCTTACATTTTGAAGCCTGTTCAAACTGGTAAATTCCATTTTTTTTAACGGTTGTTCTGTTAAAAAGAGAGGGGAGAGAAAAAGCAACAAACTTGAAATGCAAGAACGTATTCTGACAATGCTGTCACATTTACTTTGCTACAACAATAAGATTAATAACCGTTGATTTAGCTGAAGACATTACCAAAGAAATCTTACTGACTTCTACTGTGAAGCTCCTGTATAAAAGAGGAGTTTGCTGCTAGTGACTATAAAATATTTGATTATTTAAAATAACCCTACTTCACAGTCTGAATTATATCCTTTGCTTTACACTGTAATCAGAAAATGTAATTTTTTAAAAAATAAATTAAATGGAAAGCCTCTTGAACATTATGTTTTGAAGATATTTAAAATATTCACCAGTAAAATATTTAACAGATGTGATTTCCTAAAGCTGTTGATGAAATGGAATATTCAGAGCCAAAATAATATCCACAGGAAACACCACAGGTGGAATGGATCTTTCTACTTGGACCTTAACTTACTGACTTGATCTTAATAATCCCTCCCTTGTTTATTCCTTATTTACACAGTGAGAATAAATATTTGTAAAAGGAACCAAGACAAGTGCCAGAAAGTGATCTTTAATTCCTCTTGTCTTATTTTCACCAAACTCCTGTGTGGTCCTCTTGCTCTAGCAGTCCCAGTAGAAGATTGAGCTGTAAATTAGTAAATGGCTCAGATACAAAGGTCTTATTCCACTCACCTCAGTTCACCCTGTATCTAGGTTCACCTCACACAATCAGCCTCTTCCATCATCAACCTTTTGCTGTGCATACTGTCATTTATCATGAAGCTTTTTTCCTCCAGAATTTTTATCTTTCCTTGCTCCTCATCATCTTCCTCTCTCCTCCCACCCCATTCCTCTTTGGTTCTTTCCACTGATTCACTACTTACAGACCACTTGGACACTGCAACCTATTTGTCCAAACCAGAACTGGAAATATGGAAGACACAGATGCTGTGTCATTCACTCCTGGGTGTGAGCTGCAGCAGTGAACAGAACCCATGCTGCTCTTAGAAACACAGAACAACTGAGCCATCTCTGTACAGAGGCAGTCAGACACAAAGGGTCTTCCTGCTTTGTCTACAATGAACCATCATTCCTTTTACTAACAAGGACCAAAACTCCATTGCCCTCACCTGTTAAAACATGGAAACCGGTTATGAGCAAGATTTCTGACAAGCTGATTTTGAAACTCTGCCTTGGGAAAGATGACATTTCAAGCCACAGAATCACACAATGATTGAGGCTAGAAGGCACCTCTGGAGGTCATCTGGTCCAACCTCCTGATCAAGCAGGGCCACCCAGAGCCAGCTGACCAGGACTGTGTTCAGACATCTAAGTATCTCCAAGGGTGGAGACTCTACAACCTCCCTGGACAACCTGTGCCAGTGGTCAGTCACCCTCACAGTGAAAAAGTGTTTCCTGATGTTCGGAGGAGACCTCCTGTGTTTCAGTTGGTGCCCACTGCCTCTGGTCGTGTCACTGGGCACTGCTAAGAAGAACCTGGCTCCATGCTCTTTGCACCCTCCCTTCAGGTATCGATAAGGTCCCCCCTGAGCCTCCTCTTCTTAAACAACTGAAATCTTTAACAATTCAAATGAGAAGACTAACTGAAGAAGAAAGCAGAATAAATGCCTGCTTGTTTCACTGCTGAACCGACTGGCGTGTTCATAGTTATGACAGGTGAGGAAAAGGAACAAAGCACCTTTCCTTCTCTATCTATTGCCCATGAATTTTCTAGTGAATCAGTCACTCCATAGAAGCGACTCACCCAGGGCAAAGGCTGCAGAGGAGAGAAAGATCAGCTCCCTTTCTTTCCACCATCAGCATACACTCAGTGCCCATAAGGAAGTATGCCCCTTGTTTGAGGGCAATGGTAGGACAGCACAACGTACACCTCTGTCCTTGCATTTCTGCAGTGACTCTAATAGTTAACAGCTGGCACTACCTACCAAGAGTTCCTTGGCTGATTTTGCATACAGCTCCTTACCTAATTCTTTTTCAGGGAGTGACATACAAATGTGAGGGCAGAAGGCTCTCAGAGCACACAGTTCAGAACAAACAACTCAGCAGATGTTATATATTAAGTGCCAGCAAATATTCTGCTTATGCCATTTACACACACAGGTTTATTGCAGCTTGGTCTGAATGGTTCTGTCTACACCAAAGAACCAGGTGGGCCCAATCACAAAAGAACACAACATCAGTTCCCAGACAAATTCAGTTTATACTAAATCATGTCATCTCTCTTGCTTCTTTAACTCAGTAAGCTCAAATGATTCTTCTGCAGCTGCAGCTTCAAGTAAGGGAAATGGCTACAGGCAAAGCTTAGCCGCATGAATGGCACCTTAAAAAAAGAACTATTGATATCATAAGCCAAGTGCATGATACTGCTGCAAATTAGCAACTAAAAATCAAGATGCTGGATGCTGATTTGATAAGTGGCCCCAACCCTTTGAAGCCACAGCTGACCAGAGGAGACCTCTTCAACACAGGAAACCTGCCAGGAAGACCAAGTCAGAGCAGGCAGTTAGGCTCGATCAGCCCCAGCCCGCTGTGAAGTGCGTTTGCAGGCATCATTGGAGAACCAACATTCTTTCACAAGTAGGTTTCAACTCTGTGCAGAGAATCGTTATAAGGTCCTTACAGCTTCCTATTAACGTCCTGAGATCAGTGGGGCCGTGAATAAATATTCTCTCAACCAAATACAAACTCTACTCAACAGACTTTTAGTCTTTTTAAATTTATAGCATTAAGATCAACTTTAGCAAGTTTTTAATATGTAATTGCTTTTTATGAACACATTTTCAAGACTTGGAAAATTCAAAAAGGAGGAAGACAGATAAAAAAGAATGAGAAAACAAATCCCTGTTCTGTTTTGTCATTAAATCCTGACAATCAGTTTTACAGCCATCAAGGGGAAGAAAAAGGAATAAGGAGTCTTTCCTTCCCTTTCCATGACACATGTAAAGATTGGTGAAAATGGAACAGCTGTGGGGAAAACCAGACACAAATTTTAATCCAAATTCTTCATCCCGATAATGCAGACACAAGATAGATCACCAAATGCTTCTGTGGCTTTTTCCACACAAAATGTACTCAATGCTCTTTACATGGTACAAAAAGATACAAAAATAAAACAACTTATTTGCAAGACATGAAAAACAATGACTCATTATAGTAAAAGTTAAATTTTGGAATTTCTGTTTCGTTGTCAGAGTGGCCTCTGCTTCACATGAGTAAAAGATTTATGCATTCACATAAAAGGGTGTGCAAGGGGCAGTCCAGATTCCTACTGCATTATTAATTTCAGAGTTGTGCAGACATCAGACTTAGATTAGATTTCTGATCGCTTAGGATAATTATACTAGGCAACATTTATCACTACATGAATTTACCTGACCTGGTGGGTGACAGTCTTTGTTCAATACTTAGAACTGCACTAAAACTTCTATAATGAAATCATATAACATGCCTAACAACACAGATATCAGGCTACATTGAACTGATTTTGCAAACTCTTAAGCTAGATGAGAACTTGAAGTGGAAACCATGTTATATTCTGTTGGCTTGAACTCATAAAACTGATGGAACAGGGAAATTTCTGATGCATTTCTCAAAGTTTAGATGTTCTCAAAGCCAATCTCACTGACCAAAATCTGAAAAACTTTGTTTATTTTTTTTTTTTTAATCATATACGAACAGCTTGAGGACCACATACTTCCTATGGTAATTCTAGGAACTCAGAAAGTACACCATCTGTCCTTTAATAAAATGCACAGTAGATTAAGACCATGTGCCGTATTTATCCGCACATCGTTATTCTATATCGTCCTCTCAGGAAGACAACAGTTCTGTAAACTGTAGAATTCTTTAAGACAAGGATTGCACCCACCTTTAGAATAAGAAATAGAGAAACTGTATGGAAAGTCCATGGCTCCTTTTGCTGTACCTGTAGCACTCAGTCCTGAGACTAGGAAGCTTTAGTGCAGGGAATCACCAGACAGACAGGTGCCTCAGTTTACATGGAGTTCTGAGGGAGCAATCGTACAGGGAGGGAAAGAAAAGGGAAGCCCTTTAAAAGCAAAAGCAAACTCAACCCCAGTTATCAGAGAAGGAAAATGGATGGATATAAGATGGATGAAAAAAGGATGAATGGTGGGGGGAACACAGATGGAAAAAGGAAATCTAGTGCTGTGAATTCTACTATAACATGAAGATATGCCCAAGACTAAAATGCAAATCCTCCAGAATTCCCACAAAATCTGGTGGAAACAACTTAAAGAATGTGGGGTGAGATTTTCAAAAGAGCTCGGAACTGGAATGTCTCGCAGCACTGAAAGCAACAAGAATTTCACCCCTAAATTCAGCAAGAGTTAAATCCACACTGAATTTAAGGAAAAATCCCACTTATTGGCTTTATTCACTCTGTGCCCAGCAGAACTAGTTATTGCATGTTTTCTATGGCTTCCTGCTCTTGTCTGCCTGCAGCACAGGACCCCTGAACCCTCTTCCAGATGAGCATCTCCAGCTAAAAAGGGTAACTTTTGCAGGCAAAACCACACATTTATATCCTCATAGCAATGTGGCACTGAACAACACTATCCAGATTGTGAATACCTTCTGTCTTAATCTCTCCCTTGCAGGGACTAATTTATATTTGAATCTCACAGTCTATTAGTTGAATACTATTAAAAACCCGTAATCCATACTTCCCCAGGAAGGGTGCTCTTAAGTGCTATCTTTGACACTATTTCAAATTAAACATTATAAGAATATAGTGACGTTTTTTAAGGTTCACAACACCTTGATTAATAAGGCAATACATAATTTAAATGCTTGGTGAAATGGACTATAAAAATGGCTTTATCAAACCATATGACTGAGATTTTGTCTTGTAACATTAATCACAGTAACTGTGAAAGAGGCTGATCCTACTATCCTTGTTCAAGTTCCCATGGAGGTTTTACATGTCTAAGGAATGCTAAATCAGGTCTTTGAGACAAGCTGCATTTCAAAATTATTTGGAAGACCTTTGGTACATTCACTAGAGTTATACATAACACCAGATATTTCTTATTTATAAAATCCATGAACTGCATGACAGGTAACAAGACAAGCAACATTCAGAGTCTCATGGTGGGTAAAGTGAAAAGAATAACGTACTTACATTAAAATGATGTTACAATAGAACACCATAGACAGAATGACAGAGCAGTTTCACTTGGACCAAGTAAACAGAAAGAGGCTGAGAAACCTTTCACCACTGTCAGAACATAAATGTGTCCTGGCAGCAGCTTTCAACTGAATACCTATACATTTAGACAGAACTAAAACATGAGGCATGTGTTAGAAATGCACTCCTAAAATATGTCTGCATGCACCACTTGGAAATGAAGAGGAAAAAGTACTAAGAGAGCAGTAAAATTAGTGAAGTGGCTACCAGTACTGATTAATCTAAACTGCAGCAAATTATTTGTGCAATATACTAAACTACTGTTCATAATTGTGGCGGTAGCTTGTCTCTTCTTCCCCTTCTGCCTGCCAGAATGCAGTATTTGACAGGAGACAGAATGTATAGGTCTCTGTAGCATAGTTAATTAAGTATAGTTGTTTATTCCCTAGGCCTGCATAAAGATCTGCTAAGAGAGGAATTGGAGAAACCAACACTATGGAACACTGTATTAATACTAACTTGTTTACTCACAGCTCCTCAATCACTTCCTCCCACTGTTCAATTACCCCAACAGTCTCTACACTGTGCTTGCCTTGGACCTGTGAAGACAGAGAGTAAGTTAGGGAAATAATAAGTCAATGCCTTAAAATTGGCAACACAAACAGAATAACAGAGCGGTGGTGGTCTGTTCTTCAGGGTAGTGCTGCCTTGTTACTACTTGTATATGAAGTATATATAAATAGTGCTTGAGAAAACTATTTTCACTTCCCTTGTAGGACTTGAAATTACTTATCTGCTATATATTCCTGGGCAGTACAAAAGGAGCTAGAATTTCTGCCCAAGTTTAACGTACCACACCCTGGGCCTCACAACAAAGAAAACACTACCTAGCTCCTCTTATTGTCACCTTCCCCAACAAGCACTAGCAGTAGAGCCCTCTATTTTGCTATTCGTGCTGTGACTGCACAAAAAAATATGCCAGCACAAACACACTTGGGGAGGGAGAGAGGACCAAGTATCTAAAGGTGGGACAAGTGCAGGACTACTTCTTTTGTTTGTAGTGTTGGCTTAAGCAAGTTTAAACTGTACTTGCAGTTACAGCTTAAAAAATGAAAGGATGGTATGAGGGATAGACATGAGGATTTGCTAGAGAACCATAGTATTGTGGTGTAAATGATACTGGTTCTGTGAATAAATTTGGGGACTACTAGAGAAATCTTACCAACAATGGCCTTTTTTTTCATAAGAAACCCTACTAACAGGCACAGTATGCTGTGAAATAAACCCAAGACAAAAAACGGAAGTCACACTGTAGATGCAGTCACACTGAGTTATCTAACACTTAACAAAAAACAGTGGTAAGAAATGTCCTGTAAAACACAAACCACATCTTCTAGATTATTTGCTAAGAGACAGATCTTCAGAGAACTTTAGGTGCCTGGTCACTATCTAATTAAACATTGCTGTGCGTAACAGCTGCCTAAATATCTATGACAGTCTGAATCAATCCCCTGCTTTTCATCCCTTCATCCTTCAGTTTCATCCTTTTAAAAGAATTACTCAAAGTAAAAGAACAGATTAGCTTTCAATATTGCAAGGCAACAGAATAATAGAGCGTTGGAGATTCTTCAGGAGATGTCTGGTTACAAATATGTCTCCAATAGCAAAGGAAATCATGATAAGAAGATTAGCTTACGATTCTGAAGATTGTCTAGATTACTTTAATACTTAGAGTTCAAGATGGATAGTACCGTTTTTTTTTCTTTTTCCTTTCCTGAATCCTCCCACCAAAGTTGGTGAGAAAATCTTAGCTTTCCAGAAAAATGCATAAAGTGATTAAGAGATCAAAGTCTAACCTAACATCCACACACACCCTCTTACTCTTACACAGGAAAGGACATTGCTGTCAGCAACACAGCAATGTTATTCAAACTGTCAGGGTACTTGAGGAGAACCATACTTTGGGAAGTCCGCACCAATAGATTATTCCGAGTTTTATGCATCAACTTATTAATGTAGTCGCATCCGATTCAAAAATTCACTAACTCCTGTACAACCTATTTCAACGAGGGAATTTTACTATACTCATGGATACTGCAGCAAAACCCCACTGCAAACTGCAATCTAATTCCTATTGACCAGACCATCCATCTCCATCACTGAGGGATTGGACTGAATCTCCTGAATGAGTCCAGATGCTCTCTGGATCAAACCTCTCCATCATGGCCTTCAGCCAGGACCCGTCCAGCTGCTGCCTGGATCAAACCCCACCAGCATGGCTCCCTGCCCAGTCCAGCTGCTCTCTGGATTAAGTAACAGCTCTTTCTCCTTCCTCATATACCAAACATGCACCACGAACTCCTGTTAGGCCAACTTACTGAGCGTAGTCACTCAGGTGAGAAAGAACATCCTCTCTTGGATTCAGCCAGCAAGCTAGACCTCCAAAGTCACTATGGCTATAGAAGCTGGAGTGAAATGAAACTTCCTTTGATGAATAATTTACTTGTCACACTTCAGCAGTCACTTAGTCATGAAGAAATACAGTTTCAGGTTGATCAAAACTAGCTCCGAATTTGTGCCCAAATCCTCCAATTAGGTTAAGAAAAACCACGTATTTAAAATCTCATGCTCACTTGCCTTATTACAGAGATTAAAAACTGGCCCATATGTGCCGTGGATTTTCAGCCCTCTTTCGGTATGTGTTGCTTCCACTTTCTTTGCTCCAGTTGTGAGCGTACTAGCAGCAGATGGGAAGTAGCTAGACTGTTCTCTGAAGTGCTCTCTGACAGCATTTCTAGTCAATTTGACTCCATGGTTTAGCACACAGAGCTGAGTGGAAGGAGACTGCAGATCAGAAACTAGCAGGGAAAGGAAGAGTATGAGAAGATGGGGCAGGGGGGACCACAGACAGAGTGGAGAGGAGAATGGAGTGGCAGCTACAAAATCCAAAGCAGAACAGAGTAATGCAAAACCAGTACATTGTAAGGAGTGGAAAAGAAGGAAAAAAAGGGAGAAAGGGAAAAAAATGAGCACAGGAAAGAGAAGCAGTCTAGAAACACGTAACAGCAGTTAGAATTCTGCAAATGTTACTGTTTCACTCTAATTTTGAAAGATGTTATAAACTTACGGCTTCTGGAAGTTCTAAATTTTGAGGCAAGGAGCACAAGGGTCTCTCATCGGAAACACATAAGAAACCTACTGTTAGGGTACACTGCAATGGTTACTACAACTAATGTTGCTTGCATTCTCTTAGGGAAAGCATATGTTGTTTCAACCTCAAATTCAGCTAGATTGGCTGACATAGTGGCCTCAGTGAGGTTAACTGCATTGTCACCATTGACTTCAATATAACAAGGACATGACAGTTCCCATTAAAGATCCAACTCTCAAGTTCCTTCTAATTTTTATCACGTGGTTTTGACCATAATATATATTAACATATGATAATCATTGGAACTGCAATGTTAATTAGGCCGTATAAAGTAAAAGAGAATAGCAAAATATTTGCAAACTACTTCTTACATAGTAATATTTCATGCATGGATTACACCACCCTCTTCTGCACTATTAGTTTTTCTACAGTGCGTGAAGGCTCAAGAGCACAAAAACAGCCATTAATATTGAAGCCTGCACATAAGACATGACTTGTTCCACAGCTAATTTTACCAACTATTTTCATATTAAACTTCACAGTATAAAATAACAGGTTGTAAAGCAAAAATCCACCCTGATCTAAAATATCAAGAAACGGGCTCCCACAAATTAAGATGCTACACAACATGAAAAAGGCTTTGCATGTCTTGCCTTCATCCTATGGATTTGAAAAGAGAAATCTGTATTTTTAACTAAATACACATTACAAAAATGGTAACAGTATTACCTAGCTCCAGCTCCACCTTACTGGAAAGAATAAAAGATACCTGCAACATGCCATTCAGCAAGCACTTTTTGCATCGCACATTAACAAAACTGCTACATGCAAGATTTTATTGGGCTCAAAACCAATGGCAGAGTGACAACTGTCATTAAGAGGGCCTACGAGCAAATAATTTATTAAAGTGAATTTTCATTTTCTCAGCCCAGTAAGTCTCTCCGACACTCTCTCTGACTAAGCTGCCAACACAAAAGGAAGAATGAATCGGAGCGAAGGCAAATTTCTGCTCCTGTAGACCCTTCCGCACGGACCCACCGTACAGCGGCCGAAGGCGGGCAGCCCGTACCTGTTCTCGGTCTGAGGAAGGGACGTTAGCGGGGACCTAAGGACTCGCACCACTTTCGGCGTGACAGTAGCTACTCCTGCGTCCTCCTCCCAGCCCCTGGCAAGCAAGACGGGAAAACAAAGTTGGCAAAACCAGTGATTAAACATCGCCAGGCGTGAGAGGCGCCGGTCTCCTCCCCACGAAACCTTCACACGCCGCCGACAACCGAGCCGAGCCCCGCCGGGCTCCGCCGCGCCCCCTCTCCTGGCCGAGGGCGGCCCGCCACGTCCCGCTCCCTCTTCCCCCGCCGGCTCCAGGCTCTCCCGCCCCGCAGCCCCACCGCCGCGGGAGAGGCCGCCCGGCCGCCCTACCTGGCGCGGAGGGGCTGCTGGCCGCCCAGGCGCAGGAGGCAGCCGCCGAGCAGCAGGCTGCCCAGCGCCGCGGCCAAGGCGATGACAGCCCGCATGATGCGCTCGGCAGCGGCGCCCGCCGCAGCTACGGCCGCCCCATAGTATTTAAGGGAGGCTGCGGGGAGGGGGAGGCGGCCATGGCAGCCACAGGGTCTCTCTGCTCCGCCCCTCGCCCGCTCCGGCGGCCGCAGCCCTGCGCCGCCGCCGCCGTCAGTCCCCCTCCCACCGCGGCCGCTGCTCGGGGCCCTGACCGCCGGGGCGGCCGCGGTGAGGGGCCGGGCGGGTGCAGGCCGGGCTTCCCGCCAAACTTTCCCTTCAGGCGAGCGGCGCGGCGCTCCCCGGGCAGGTTCCCGGCGGGGGTGTGTGTGTGTGTGTGTGTGTGTGCGCGGCTCGGCAGGGCGCCGCCGCCGCCACCGCGGTTCCTCCGCTTGCTGCTCGGTGAGCTGCCGCGGCGGCAGGGCAAGACCCTGGGGCGTTTCTCGGTAACAAAGGCGGCGGGGTGGTTCCCTGGGCTGCGAAGGAGTTAAAATACTGTCGAAACTTTAATCGGGAGGGGCTGCGGTACCGTGCGGGGGTCACCCGGCACCGGGGAGACCCGGGCAGCAAGCCCCGCTCCGGGGCTGGGGCGGTGAGGTCGCTGCTGCTTTAAAAGCTCTGTGTCTTAAATAACCTTCAGGGTGGTGGTCGTTTGGTTTTCGTAAGATGTATTTGCAGTGCTTTTGGTAAAGAAATGTCTCTGTAGTAAGTTTTCATCTTTTTACCTAATTGTTCACTTAGTGTTTTCACAGGGCCAGCAATTGCTACGAGAAACCTAGTAAAGCGATGAGGTGCCATTAATTAGGTCCCTTTTGTTAAGAGAGTGGTTAGTAAAGATGCTCTACCTTCCAGCAGCCTTTCGGTTGTGAGCCAACAGATACCTTGTTTTTGCAGATTCTTTCCTAGCCTTCTTGTTTTCTGTATCTGCAAGTGTTCCCTTAAGCCTCGGATTTGCTCTTCATGTTCTCAAACAATGGCTGGAAAGCCTCAGAATAAGAGCTCTGCTGCAGCTATAAATGAAGTAACAAGGGACTTGATGTTGTGACTGGGAAGTGGTCAGGTATGGCAGTGAGAAGCAGCATGCCTGTGGTCTGTCAGAGGAACAGCGCAGCACCAGCTGTGATGTACTATGCCAGGAAATACCTAATTTTTTGGGGGGGCATTTCTTAGCTCACTGGTGGGCAGTGCTGTGGGTGCTGGTGGGAGGGAGCTAGAAGCAGTCGCGGGCTGATGTTGCTGAGGGGTAGCAGGTATTGAACTGGCTCAGTGCACAAGTGCCCCTGTGAGCACAGCTCAGTCTGCCTCTTGCCTTTGAAGTACTTAGTCATAGTAGAGAAACAAAGCCAGCGTTAGGACTTCTGAAGTCCTGAAGAAGTTTTCTGTTTTGAGGTTGTCATGTATCCTAAATGTCTTGGAAGTGTTTTATCACCATTTCCAAAAAGCTTAATTCAGCTTTAGGCTTATCCTATAAGTCCAGTTGACATTGCATATGATTGCATAGGGGCCAACAGTCAAGCTTTTCAAGGTGTGTATATATATATATATATATATATATATATATATTCACTGGCTAGCAGATACTAGAAATTTCAATCCCACTGTTAACTCTAGAACTTGAAGGCTTCTCCTTATGTTGATGGATATTATCAACTATTTCATAATATCCACCAAATATTCCATGTATAAAACAATAAATCTTCCATTTTAGAAAATCTAGTGATATTCTCTTTCAGCTGTGAATGAAAGAAGGCTAAGAATTACTATCCAGAAAACTATTTTGGCTTTTTCCTCACTGTTACTTCCCTCTGCAATACAGTTTTCCCATGAGTCCTGGAGTAGCACTGTCAGCTAGTCCATGGGAAATTTAATGATGTCAGTGAGGACATTGTATTTCAACTGAGAGGTCTGCTGCCAACACCAGTCTAGAATACTGGTAGAGATTTTTTTTTGCCAGTTCAGAAGGTTAATCTTTGTGTCATATTAAAGCTCTTGCAAAGAAAATTGGAAGAATATAAACTATATCTGTTTAATTTAGGCTTGGCACTTTGTGCTTTTTGTTTACCAACAACTTTACAAAATTTAATTGATTGTCGCAATATCGGTAGGTGTTACTAGCCTTAATTTCCTGGCAGAGATGCTTAGTAGAGAGGTTAAGTGACCTAATTAAAGGGTGAGATGAGAATCAATGGTAAATCAGGATTTAAATTTAGGAATGCCGGATTCAAAGATCAAGTTTCTCTTGCATCATGTTGCCATGTCAGAAGCGATGGTGCCAGGTAACATGATGTAGAGGGTCAAAATGATAAAGGCACAGATGCCAAAGATGCCACATGGGAAAAGACAAAGACTGAACAGCATACACCGAGTCTGCGTCCCATCCTGTCCTCCTGACATCTGGAAGCTGCTGCATCTTGGCAGCATCCTCCAGGCTTTGATTCCCATTAGCTTACAAAGTCGGTGGGAACTGATAATTGCTGGTTTGCACAGAAGGAATAGATCACTAATCAGCCAGGTGGTGTCATGATGACTTTGTTGCTGAGTTCCTACAATCCTACTTAGCTGCTAATTTGAAAAAGTAAAATGTAGCCTTGGGTATCATCTTTGAAGGGCTGCTGCCCCCCAGGATGATGAGATTGCATCTCAAAAGGACTCTGGTGGTGGTGCCTGTAGGGCTGCTGGTCACATGGAGCTAGCTTAGCTGCCTTAGTTCCAGCAGCTAAATCATATTAAGAAGCAATTAATGTTCATTAAATGCTTTCCTAATGCTGCCTTCTCATCTAAGCAATAACTGTCATAGGGATATTAGTTATTGCAAATAGAAGGGGAGATGACTGGTACAATTAGGAGGAAGAGAAAGGTACTAAAAATATTCGGTGAAACTGGAGTCCCACAGTGTGGCAAAGCATACGAGTCCCCAGAGTGAGGTGTTGGTGTGAGACTACTATTTTGGTATTTTTAGTGTAGTCATCAATGTAGCAAAAAAAAAAAAAAAAAAAAAAAATCCAACAAACCCACAGAAATTAAACATATGTGTTTCAAACTGAGAGAAAGTTCATTGCATTTCGCAACTTTTTCATTTATTTCCACCTACAGTTTTGGGCAACGTGGTTTAAATAACGATAAACAGCAAGAACTGAGGTGCTGTCTACCAAACTCCAGGGCATCAGATTGTCAGATCATTTCACAAAAGAAAAATGGCAAAAAAATGTGCGTTCCTGTACCCCATTTAAAAAAAAAAAAAAATCAAGCCAAATAATCACCTGCTGCTATGCTTTTTCAGCCTTACCTTAATGTTTTTCACTATTTTTTCAGGACAAGATTTTGTGTCCTATAACTTACAAATTAGACTTTACTAAAATAATAATGTAATAACTAATTTTGCTACCAAACAGCCTGTTGAGGTATACATAAAACTAGCTGAAGTATTAGGTGCTTAAAAGCAGTTTTGTGTACCCCAGTTTTGAGGTGTTCATCAAGTGTGCCAGTGTCAGCTCATCCACTGTTCACCCTTCAGTGAAGGTCAAGGTGAAAAAAGGACACATGGAGAGGTCATCAAGATGCTGAGGGTCTCATAAGCTGTCACACTTACTTGCTTCTTGTGCACAAAACTGATTATTTTTCACTCTTGTAAGCTGGGTATGATTTTTTAATTGTCAGGGTAATGTATTGTGTGTTCTTCACCAGATTCTTCTGTTTAGTTTAACCAAGTAACCAGCTCATCTTTAGCAATCGTGATCCTGTCCCATGGCAGATAATACTCATTGCCAAAAATGTCTTGTAGCATAAGCAAACTTGGGGCCAGTAACTACTGAAAATCAGTGTTCTGCTGCCAGCCACCATGCAACGCTTCATCCAATTAAGGGCACCGCAGGCATTGAGATGCCCGTGGTTGCAGTGCAGTCCAGCGTGTATGCTCTTCCTAAGGAAGCTGATGGGGGCGGGGGGGGGGGGGGGGGGGAAGGATCTGAATTCTACTTCGTTACAAAGGAGGATTTTGATGCAGAAACCCTGAAAACTTGCAAGTCGTTAACCTGAAGGGAGAGATATTTTTTTCCCCCTTCTTTCTTCTTCCTAAATGCTCTCAGCATGACTTCTTAATACGACACTATAAGAAAGGCCCGATTGGGTCAGACTAGAACAGCATGTTTTTCAGGCAGTGCCCAGGAGCAGGCTCCCAGGGAAGAACTGTGCAGTGATCTGTCCCTAGGATCCTTTCTCAGCTTCCAGCAATCAGCAGCTCAGGGAACTTCTGAACTAGAGCTATCTGTGTGTTTAGTTGCCTTTCATGGATTTTTCTTCTGTAATTGTGTCTAATTGCTTTTTGAAACCGTGTACACTGTTGGCATCAACAGCAGCTTGTGTCAATGATTTCCATCCAAGCTGAAATACTTCTCATTACGATTAGTCCAGGAACAATTTGCTAAAAAAGTCTGTTGTTACTTGGAAACTCTGATCTGCTATGCTAAAGGATATGAAGCAGTAAGTATTCTTCTGTAAAGAATTTTACTACACATTGCACAAATCAGCACTGCTGTTAATACGAATTCACAGCATCCATTGCTAGAATTCAGAGTGAGCTATTACAGAGCATACTGTGAATGCAAATTAAAAATAATGCACAGCACTCAACCAAATCCTAATGGACCAATGGTACAATGTCAAATACATCAGGAGCAAAGACTTAATACTATTATGAAAACCCCAAACAAACAAAGCAGGTAAATCAGCGCTGACAAAAACTGTTCGAGCAACATTTACTCATCATAGATCAGCATGTGGACTGATGATACAGCTCCCAGTGGTTCCTAAAATGCCTGCACAGCTGAAGGGGGAATATGCCTCCAGGGATGTCACGTAATGGAAGGGTTCTCATCAGACACTATGGTCAATGGTGGAGGTAATTATGGCAAGCTAAACATTTATTTCCATCAGTGAGTGTGGCACAGTGTCCCCAGCTGCCTGTCTGTAGAAAAATCCAATTTAGGATCACATGTTTTTTGAAGTGTGCATATAAAATACTCAGCAATAGAAATGAGGGGCTGTAGTGGAGTTCAGAGTCATCCTTAATGGTATGTGTGATGGGCTGCAGTGGTCAGTTATCATCATTTATGCTTATGGGAAATCAGAGCCACAGTTCAAGAAAATAAATAAATGCATGACGTAAGCAAATAGCAGGGATTATTCAGAAGAAAAAAGGGATGGCTGCATGAGGGCCTAACCTTGGGATGGGAAGGTTATCTACTGAGTTTGATCCAGGATGGTGGCCTGACAGCCTGGGCCCAAACTGGCTTCTTGGGATCACTGTGCACTGAAAAAAAGCTAGAGCCCATTTTTTTGACATTCTTATATTTCCTTTGTTGAAATATACACAGAGT